ATATGAAAATTTTCCAGCCGACGAAATTTAAGGTTGATTGTCGACTGGTATCAAATATCGAGTATTCTTTTGTCGCCTTCTCAGCACGTTTAGTTCAAATGGAAATTTTTCAACATCCTTTGGATTGTCATGCATTTAAAACCTTGTGAAACCAACCCATTTTCCTCACTTTGAGACGAGGCAAATCAAATATTTATGAACCTGTCTAGAAAAACGTGTGGTCTCTGATAGTCTTAGGGTATAAATACCCGTGCAAATTGTGATTCGACGAAATTCAACGGTAACTCTTGATAGTGTCAATTCGAAAAAGAGCCGGTGTGTACTTCTGTTAGATTCGATAACAATAGAAATGATCGCGCTAGAGACGGGCAAGAAATTGCAAACGTTCATTGGTATTTACCGTCGAGATCAAGCTGATTCAAAGGATGTGGTGTACATGACTGTGATGAACATTATATTTATTTCGATAATGTTCGTAGTTTTGGTTTATGGAAGTATTTTTTTCATGTACGTGAATTACAAGGATTTAGAAAATACAACGAATGCGGTAATTGTCTTGATGGCTGGCTCTAGTGGTGTTGGCTGCTACTGTGGAATGGCTTTTTCTCTGAAGTCAATACAGAAGCTTTACGTAAAATTGCAAAATCTCGCTGACGAAAGTATTGTTATTGGCACAGTTTTGCGTTTTCTTTTCTTATTACTTGGATTATTTAATATTATAATTTTAGGTTTGAAATATTGTGGGTTCACTGGTTTTCAAGAAGCTGAAGAAAGAAGTCATTTCCTTATCAAATACTTCACAATGTTCATGATGCTATTCTTTTTATTTGGAACTTGGACTGTTAGTAATTTCTTTCCATTTCTGATGAAACGAATTGATTCATTGAATTTCTTATTCATCGATTTTTTCTTTGGAATCAATTTGGGAACAGGTCATACTTGGAATGACATTCTGGAATATCTACGTTGGAAAAACGGACTCTTCGAAATGGTTTTTGCCTTATCGAATTATCTTGCTCGATAGATCATCCATGTTTGGTTGGTATTGTGAGTTTTTCCTCCAAATGAACAGTGGATATGCGTTCGTGTTGACAATCGCTTCAACCGTTACCTTCTTCGGAGGATGCAGCTACTACATCGAAGCGTGTTTGTGTCAATTCCAGCATATGTTCAATGCAATCGATAAAGATGTAGAAAACGAAGAAAGTGATGATGTCATCGAGAAGAATGTTTTTGAAACGGTGATTTTTCACAGCAAGATCCTTGACGTCTTTGATATTATAGCAGATAGTTACAGTGCCACCATATTTTTTCATTTGATATTCAACATTCTGTTTCTGGCCGGTGCTATTTATCAAACGGAAATGGTACGCCAAAAATCAAGTTTTTTTCTTTACATTTTTTTACAACTTTTATCTCTTTTGTTTTTATTGTAAAAGACATTTGGAAAAGTGGACTTTGGTGCTCTGTTCAATGTCTTATGTGTGATGGAGGGGCTATCGTACACCTTCATATTGTGCTATTTTGCCAATAATTCAACTTACTCAATGGCAGAAATTGCAAATGTCGTATATTACTCGAGCTGGTACAATCAACCGCCGAAAATTCAAAAATTATTTTTGTTGATCATTGCACGCGCTCAAAAGCCAAACATATTTATGGGCTTCAAAATGGTTTATTGCTCCTTGGAGTCATTCACAAGGGTAATTGTTCACATTTATTTGATGCATGATGTGTGTAATAGAAAATAATTAGTATATTTCAACTTTTATTTCAGCTAAATAGAACAGCAGCCACTTATTACATCATGTTCCGAAATGTATCAAAACGCTGAACACTTTAACATGACACATTTGTTGTCAATTCCATGTCTATCGTGAAGATAACTTGATCTTTATTTATGTCATTTGTTGTTTTTCTGCATTTTATTGCAAATTTCATCATAGCTGTGTGACGAATTTTCCCAAGAATTTGTGTATCTTTACTACCCACTATTCACTGAGTAATCCAAATTTTATTTATACGTTTTTTGACCAAGATTCGAGTTGTTCCATTTTATAGCAGTTTTTGGCTAGGGGAATTTAACTCTTACGAGTTCAGCATGTTTTTTGCCAGTTTGCTTGATTCGCGGGAGTTCGACGCGTTCCTTGTACGTACTGACGCGCACGGTCACAAGTTTACACAAGTTTGTTTATGGTTTTGCGCGTTTTTCAAGTTGTTATTTGACAATTAAAACGCGTTTCAAGCTAAAAATCGGTTGTTTACGTGTATAAAGATTTTTCACATCCTTTCCAAAAGTTCAAAGATTTTTATAATTATAAAATGGACAAAGGAAATATTTTTAAAGAGCTGGAGAAAGTGTTGAAGAAAAAGTTAATCCAGATATAATAAATGGAACGACTGATGTGTGCGCGTCGTCCAGCTACAAGTTTGCACACGAACTCGTGCGCGTTCGCGCATGTTGTTTTAATACGGAACTTGTCAACTGAGTGGAATCATGCAAGTTCTCTGGTGAATGTAACAATTTCGTGCGCGTTTATATCATTTTTTTACAAGTTTTCACGTAGTTAAATCCCCCTAGGTTTTTGGACAGCCAATTGCTCAAAAAAATTGTTCCCACATAAAAAAAAAGAAAAAACACTACGTTAAACTACATAAAATCTATAATTGAAATTGCCCTACCCGAAGTCATTTCGGCAAATCTTTCAAGATTTGAATATCCATCTTTCAAATTACACTTTATGCATTTATGAAGCATTTTTAGTGCTATAATTAGTGATATAACCTCAAAATTCGACGAAAATTTGTTTTGCTTGTGTGAAGTGGCATCTTGGACTGATTCCGAACAAAAATATATGAAATCGATTCCAAATTCTCTGTTCTATCAAACTAAAACTAATATTTTCTGTTTATTTAATACCGAAAACACCCTAATATACAGAATGTGGCGTCTACGATTTGAAGAAAAAAGAAAATTCTATATTTATTTTTCACACCTTCTCGTTTGACACGTCAATCCAAATAGCAGAGAATATCTACACATAGATTTATTCAAATAAATTAAAAATATCAAATTAATTTATCGATATTTTTCATGCGTTACGATGTTTTAACGCATTTGCAGTGTAAAAACGAAATAGTGATAAACTTACCATTGGGATCCAATTGGATACCAATTGAAACCTTTCATTTTTATACTGCAAATGCGTTAAGACATCGTAACGCATGAAAAATATCGATAAATTTATTTGATATTTTTAATTTATTTGAATAAATCCATGTGAAGATATTCTCTGCCAAATGGTTTCGTCATCCAACTGAATTGTCTCGAATTGCTTTAGAATGTGAAGCGTTCAAAACTTTTAAAAGTAAAACCCCTTTTTTCAGTTTGAGACGAGGGTGTGTTTGGACGCTCTAAATCTAATATTTATAAATCAGTCTGGAATAATTTTACTTGAAAGTGTGGCTTCGGGGTATAAATATGCGTACAGATCATGATTTCAGCGCATTTCAATTGGCTTTTCAATAGAGTGAAATTGCTTTGGCTCAGGCAAATTAGTAAACTTTGTGGGTGGTGTACAAGTTCAAATCCGATTAAAAGTGAATTCTTATTTATCGAAGGACAGCCATACATCTAAATTTTCTTTTTTCCAAAATGATTGTGCTGGAGCTAAGTAAAAAAATGCAAAAATTTATTGGTATTTATCGTGAAGATTCATCGGGTCTAATGGGGATCTTCTACGTGGTTGTCATGAACGTGGTCTTTGTTTCGGGTATGATGGGTGTCTTGGTGCTAGGAAGCTTTGTATATATTTGCAAGCATTTGATGGATATGGCAACTTCAACGAATGCAATGATCATCATGATGGCTGGCATCGGTGGAGTTGCTTGCTATTGTGGCATTGCCTCGAATCTGAAGTCTACTCGAAAACTATATGACCTGTTACAACAACTTGCAGATGAAAGTAATGTATATCGATCGATAACTCTACAATCATTCGTTTTGAAAAATTTCAAATATTTACATAGGTTTTAAACATCGTGGCTTCACTGGATTCCGAGACGCCGAAGACAAAAGTCATTTTTTAAGTAAATGGCTTACTATGTTTATGACGTTGTTTTTTACATTCGGGACAGTTCTTGTTGCATTCTTAATGTCTTTGTGGAACATTTACCAAGACAATTATGACACTTCAAATTGGTTCTTACCATTCCGAATCATATTACCGATCGATAATTCAAATTTGATCGGTTGGTATTTGGAGTTGTTCCTTCAGGCATACGGTGGATATGTATACGTTTTATCAGTTACGACAATCGTTGCCTTCTTTGGAGGATGCAGCTACTACATCGATGCGTGTTTGAGTCAATTCAAATATATGTTCAAAGAAATCGATAAAAACGTCGAAAGAGAAGAAATTGACGAAGTGATCGAAAAGGATATATTCGAAACGGTGGTTTTTCATAACAAGATCCTTGAACTCTTTGATATAGTGGCTGATATTTATAGTGCAGCTATATTTTTCCATTTGATTTGCAACATACTATTCCTCGCCGGTGCAGTTTATCAGACAGAAATGGTATGCTAATTTCAATTGATTACGATTGTTATTATTGTTATTTTATCAACCGAATTCGAACAGTTCGTGTTCATGAGCAGATTTATTATCAACTTTCCTTACTCAATTAGACGATTGGCAAAGTGGGATTAGATCTCTTGTTCAACGTCTTATGTGTGATGGAGGCGCTATCGTACACCTTCATATTGTGCTATTTCGCCAATTCATCGACTTACTCAATGGCGGAAATTGGAAATGTCGTATACTACTCGAGCTGGTACAATCAACCACCGAAAATCCAAAAATTACTTTTGTTGATCATTGCCCGCGCCCAGAAGCCAAACATATTTATGGGCCTCAAAATAATTTACTGTCACTTGGAATCTTTCGCAAAGGTATGTTTTCAATCTCCGGTCGAATTACATAGTAAGCGTATCATCAAACTTTCATTTTAGTTGAACAAAAATGCAGCCACCTACTACATCATGTTCCGAAATGTTTCGAAACGTTAAATTAAATGGAAAGTTTATTGAAAATTTGAATTTTGCTAGGATATAAATCCTCAGCCATGTTCTTTTTTTGATAAGATTTTTTCTGAGTTAAATTCAATATTTATCTGTCACATCAAATTTGGACTCGTATTATATGGTTCTCAGTTTGATATAAAATTTAAATGCACATGAAAAATTAATATAATCGGATAGAGTCAAATAATATAAAGCACATGTAGCACGTTTGTAATGTAAACTCTTTATGGTATTCGAAAACTAAAAAAATTAATTAATCGGTTCACATAGTTGTATTATTTTGTTAAATTCCTTTGGCCTATGCCTCATGATAATATCTCATAAAAGGAATACAATAAATAAAAATGGTAAAAATTATTGCAAATATTCATTGGACTATGATTTTACGCAACTGGTAAAAAGATGTTATGATGGCCCAAAGTACAAATCTAGTGGAATTTGTGCTGATTCATGTATTCTCACAATTTTCCAAGCGTTCGTCATAGAATAGCTTAGCATGCACTCCATTTAATACTC